CAAGATTTGATGTAAAGCATTACTTGAATTAACTATAAGCCATTTCATCTGTGAAAACTTAGAGTACACTTAAATTAATATTTAAATAAATGTGATTACATACATCATAACCAGGGGTGGGATTCTACCAGTTTGCACCTATTCACTAGAACCGGTTGTTAACATTCTAAGCAGTTTGGAGAACCTGTTGTTAGAAGAAATTACTGGCCTAATCCTGTAAGGAAGGCAGGAAGGAAACATTCTGGTGTTGCTTACAGAAACTGCCTCTCCGTTAACCCTTATTACATTCTTGGCAGGACTAGACTTCCTGTCTCAGGAATGTCTCTGGAGTTTTCTCCCCCTCCTTTACTGGTACTTTGCTTGTGTGGAGTGACCATTCAAAGTTACAGTGGCACTGAAAAAAGTGACTTATGATCATTTTTCACACTTACGACTGTTGCAGCATCCTCACAGTCATGAGAGGCCAGGAGAGGAGATGCATGCCTCGATGTGAGTGATATTGAGTTGGCCACACCCAGCCAATAACATGACCACCAAGCCATGTCCACCCAGGCACATGACCACCAAGCCATGCCCACAGAACCGGTTGTTAAAAATTTGAATCCCACCCCTGTTCATAACCAATTTTGAAGCCTTATAAGTGAATAAATCATTCAGAGTTTTTTTCTTAGAGAAAAATACATTTAAATCTAATATTATGCAACATAACATTCAGTAAGATTAGATATTATGAGATTGTGTGCACTGAGGATATATGCTTAATTTATGTTCAACTATAGAAAGTACAAAACTCATACAAAGAATAAACAGAGATCATAATGAAGAATATTATTTCAATAACATCTAGATTCTAGAGAATTATAAATCCCTTTCTCTAGATTAGACTTTGATTCTTGTCAATCTTTCTGGGCTTTTGGCACAGTGCTTTGTATTAGATCCAATCCTTCCTGTTGTGATGCATCTAGAAATGATGCTAGGAAACTACTGTCCAATCCTACTTTGTTAAGGTATGGTGTTCCACAGGACTTTATCTTGTTTCTATCTTGGTTTCCATTTAGAAACCTGACCTTCCGGACTGAAGATTTGGCATGGGGTTGTGTTCCTTCATATAGACCAGATCTCTTGATCCATAGTAGTTACTGGATTCACAGGTGATAGCTGTGTCAAAGAGTGTGCTTATATAACTATGTCTAGTGAGACAATTGGACTCCTGGAATACTGAGATATATCAGTGGTCATCTATCCCTTGATCATATCCATCTTATCCATCCCAAATGCTTTACATGTGTCTGACTGTACAAAATGTCTGAAAATTGCAGTTGGTGCAAAATGAAGTGGCTAAATTACTGATGGATTATATAATGCCTGTAGTGAAAGATCTCTACTAGTTGCCAGTTGTCTACCAGAAATAATTAAAGACAAGATATGGCCTCTCAATTTATGAACCTAGCCAGTTACTCAGATCAGAAGAAGAAACACTTTAAAATAGGGCCTTTTTGCCAGAAACTCATCTATTTGGACCTTGTCGTTTGTGAACCCAACCTAGAATATGAAATGAATTCCCAAACAATGTTAATTTGGCCCCCATTTTCCCAGTGGGAAAAAATAACAGCAAAAATCTTTTTTAGCAAGCTTTTAACTAGTTTCTAACTTAGTTGAACTAAGTTTTGATTTTAATGGTACTGATTTTAAATTTATCTTAATTTTAAATATCTTGATTTTTTATTCATACATTTTATAATTTTTACTAATTGCTGTAGTTTATTTCTGAATAGAGAAAAATGGGACATAGACACATCATTTGATTCATTATTGAATCTTCTTCTATAAATAAAATGACTTCTGCTTTCCACATTTTTTAAAAATAGAGGAGAGTTGTGCTGGAAGAAAAAGAATTCATTGATTTTATTTTCCCCTGATCCATGGCACCATTTACACAATTACAGAGAATTTTAGAATTCTCTAGAGCAAACCTTTTGAGATGGAGAATCTGGAAAAAATGTCATCTGTGTCTTCCAGACAGGAGTGGAATTTTGCTGAAAAAGCACCTACCTTTGAAGGCAGAGAATAAAGCACAAATTCTGCTTTTTCTGTAATTATATAATCCCAGCACCAGCTTGATCAATAATGAGGAGGCTACCTCTGATTGAAGATATGGAATATAAAAGATCAACAAACTGCCATCAATTCATGTCATTATACTATCAGTGATAGGAAGAGGTATTTGTGATATTTTAGGGTCATGTGTTGAAATAATTAGGATGCTTTTAGATAATCTGCACTTGGCTAGAAGGGTAGGAGAGTATCATTTACTGCTTGACATCAGGCAACAAAAGTATCTTGGGCTAGTTCTGTCTTGAAATTGCATGATGCCACTTGTTAACTGTACTTATATGTAGCACTAACAACAGAACATGTCTCAGTCTGAATGACTAACTTCTTCATTCTGTTTGCTTTGTACCAGATGTGTTATCTGATGCTTCATTTAGCCAGATCTTAAGGAATATGGAACCAGCATTTCAAGTATCTGTCTAGTAAGCACATTTAGGTGCTTTTGCTTGTGACAGACTTAACCCTTGGCTTCTGCTTAAGAATTTGGTGCCATCTGGATGAGTATTTTATAACTCCCCAAAGGGATAGGCCTACAGGAACGTAAAAATGGATGCTCATTTTCCTGGAGAACTAAAAGCTGTGGATCAAATGTCAAGAGGAATAGTTTTCATATACTTTATGAGAGAGATCACCATACCACCTTCCTTCACCTGTCACTCTTGTGACATGACATCCATAGGCTTAAGCTCTCGATACCAGAAAGGAGGGAGAAGCTTAGCCAACTGTGTCATTTCAGAGAAAAGCCCCTTACTCCTTCTGCCAATTCAGCACCTTGACGAAACTGTGAAGATAAAGCTGTCATCCCTGAAGTTCAGTCACTGCATCAACCATTTTAGTCCATTATGTTATTTTATTAGTATTATATTATTTTAACATTAGGGAAACAATCTGCATTATGTGGGAAATTAATGTTTAAAGTCAAGCTGTCATGCATGTTAAGTAAGGAATTACACTATCTTACAGCCATGTTCATGTGTCTCTCTACCTTTTTTTTAGGGCAATTCCAAATACTTTTCTTAGGAAAAAAAGTCCATTGAAATCTTTTTCAAAATTTTTCATGCCCAAATAAAGAATAGACAAAGCCAACTCTTACCCAAGTTCCAGGACCATTAGTTAAAGTTTAATTGACTTGTTTGGATTGCTAAGTGATAATAAAAACAAAGTTTTCACTCTAAGTGCCCAAAATGTAATAGTTACTTCTTATTGGACCTCAGTTTTAAAACTATGACTTTATGGAGGCAGGTTTCAAGCCCAGTGTTTGGGAAGCGATTCGAGAGTGAATGTAGGTTCTGATAAATAAAATGAATCTTAAATAAGGATGTTGTCAGACACCCGATAGCTCTTTGCAATTAGATTACGATTGAGCAAGGACTGCTTAGACTCCAGTCTCAGTTTCCCATCTCATATTACATCTGTCATATCCCCAGTAATTTTTCTCTGCTCCAAAAGTGCTGAGAGATACATTTGGCTTGCTAGGGGAAATGCAGCATAGGGGATTGATTTTCCAAATCTCTGCAAGAGTGTCCATTCTCCATAGGACTCATTTTAATGCCATTGGGAAAATGATCATCCACTTCCGCTAAGGAAAGGCACTTCAGTGTCCTTTTGAACACATTACTGCACGTGAAAAATGATAAACAGAGTGACATATTCTTTTTACCTTGTTTTGCAAGGTATGACCTTATGTCACACAGTGAGATACCCAAACTACTTTTGAAGAGAATGAAACTAGACTGTGTTCAGCTGAAAAAAAAATCTAATATTACTCTCGTTAATTGTATAGGTTGCTAAATGTACATGTTGTGCAACTGAGGAAGTAAGCATTTCATTTAGATAGATAAATTATCAATGGAAATAATCACCATTGTATACACAAGCCAATATTTGGAAGATTCCTTCATTGATTTCAAATTAAGTACTTACTGCAAGGGCAGCAGGTCCTGGAGGTCCCATATCACCCTATAATATTAGGAGGAAAGCAAAAAGTAACAATCTTGTATTTTAAAAATTCCACTTCACTTAAAATACTTAACTTGACATCTATGTTCCATTCAGCTTCATTTGAACTACTTAATTCAATACATAAAGTCCCTATTCAATTTACTTTAGAGAAATATGATGATATAGTGAAAATTAAACTGCTGAACAGCTCAAGGTCAGCAACCATCATCTGAGAGAGATTCAGGCTTATTCCTAGGTGGCTCATTTTTAATGATATATTGGTTAAACATTCAAGGGTTGGCTTATCTGCAGAGAAGCTTATACATGAGTATATATGGTAAGTCTATTCAGTCCCCTTTCTGCATTAATTTCTGTAACTATTTTTGTACTTTTTCATCATATCCTCCTTTCTGAAGGTATTTTCCCCTACATTTCATCATTCTTTATAAAACCCACTTGACATGTTTAATGTGTGTGTGTGTGAGAGAGAAAGAGAGAGAGAGAGAGAGAGGGAACATTTGTAAATTCAGAGAAGTGAGTCTGTCATCATGGAACAATGCCGCTGCTCATGTGTATTGTTGGGATACACCCACCCACCCACCCACCGAAAAAAAACCCTGTACAAAAACCCCACGGATGGAGATGAGGCGAGGGGAAGAAGTAGTTGCAGAAGAGCAAAAGAGACAATTATTTTGCTTAGGTAAAACTCAGCAAGTAACATTTTCCAAGCAGTTGTTAATATTCAGAGTCGTATTCAACGACATTTACACTAGAACACTGGATGCAGCCCCCTTAGTATTTCTTCTTTGTTCTTTTATTGTCAGCAATTTCTACTCTTCTTTTCGTTACCCAGGTCTTTAATTTTCACCTATCAATTCAATGTAAGAGTTCGCATGTGAACACATATGAATACCTTTTCTCCCTTTGCACCAGTTATTCCACAATCACCAACATCACCTTTTAAGCCCTATGGAAGAAGGAAAAAAGATGAGGAACTGTATTTAATATGTATTAAATTCTGTAAGTAAGAAGTATAGTAGTTAGGCTCCCACATTAGAAATTGGGAGACCATGAGTTCTAGTTCTGCCTTAGGTATGAAGCCAACCAGGTTACCATGTTTCTTTTTGAAATATTTTCTTTATTTCATTTTTTTAAAAGAAATGGAATAAAAGTCACTCTGGAGACAACTCATAACCGTGGGTTGTATCCAGCTTGTTCATTCCCAGTTTTTAAAGGAGTATTTTAAATGTCACTTTTTAAAATAATTAAAAATTCACAAATGAAAATACCTCTATACCTGCTGAAACAAACATGCAATTCTTAAAAGTAGACTCATTAAATTGGTCATCCATCTAAAAGTATCTGTAAAATTACTAATTGGTTTTCATGACAAGTTTGACTGAGAAAAAATTGATGTTAAGATGATAAGCAACATCTCTCCTACTGCAGGCAGGAAACTTTGAATCAGAAAGTGTTCAAAATACTCATAATTGGACAATACTTTTTTTTTTTTTTACAAAAGTTACATTAATTCACCATTTAGAAGAAATAGTTACAGTACATTAGCATTTAAGTAGTTACTTCAAATTAAATGTTGGATTTTGATAAACCTGATTTTACATTTATGCTTATAAGCAATCAAAGAGTTAAATCTAAAGCAATATTTGTTTTGTCTGAAGAAGACAGACCAGGCAAACAGAAATAAGTAGGGAAAAAAAACCTGCCTTATTGCCCATGCTTGAATAGCATAAATATAAATTACTCTATTCAGATTTCTGAATGGATTTAGATTTCTGACTGATTTTTTGTAAACAAAAATGGTTATGAGATTTCAGAAAGCAAATGGAATATGTATATAAACATACATATTTATCATGTTATTTCCTTTCAGGATGTGCGGAGCTATGCAGTGGGCTTGAAAGAAGTAAAAAAATACTTAGAAAAATAAAACAAAGTAGTTGAAATTACTTAATACTAGCAGCATTCATATAGTTCTCCATACCTTTCTATCTTTGCAAAACATCCTTGCTTTCTCCACATCCATATGCTTCTTTGTTCTTTACATAGATCATTTCCCTCATTCTGAGGTTCACATCAATTTCATTCCATCGCTGTTTTCTTGGACTGCTTCTTTCTCTCAATCCATTCACATTTTTTTCATTGATTTGTTAAGCAATTCATTTGGTATGATTAATTCAATGTTTGTACCCAATCTACGTTTACTCCAGTCCATGCCCATTCCTTCTTGACCTGATTTCTTCTTCTTTTACTCTACTTCTTTAAAGATATTCCCACCCCATTCATTTTATTGTTATGTTTCTTTTATGTTACTTCTTACATAAAATTGACTCTGACTTCAATATACAAAAATAAACAAAAGTATTCCATTATGCATAGCCAGTTTTAGTTCTCTGAACATATTCCTTCTTTGCAAGAAACTACCTACTGCCTTTCTACCTACATTTCCTCATCTCAAAATTTCTCCATTCATTCAAAATACTGTATACGACGAGCAGTAATAATCATGGGGGCAGGTATATATTGGGGTTGCAGGTATATATTGCTTTTGAAGTGCTTATTGCTTTACTTTATTTATTTATTTTATTATCTTATTATTTTATTATTTTATTTTACTTTATTTTATGTATGTATTTATATTCTGCCTTTATTATTTTTATAAATAAGTCAAGGTAGTGATCATATTCAATACATCCTCCTATTTTTTCCATAATAAGAACCCTGTGAGTTGAGTTGAGAGACTAGCCCAAGATTATCCAACTGGCTTTCATGGCTAAAGTGGGATTAGAATTCATAACTTCCTACTTTCTAGTCTGGTGCTTTAACCACTAGACCAGAGGTGTCAAGCTGGATTTCTTGCAGGGCTGGATTAGTATTGTAGTTGTCCTCCATGGACAACTGAGAGAGGAAACAGGATGGACAGCCTACTGCAGCACCCTGCTGGCCAAAATGGGCACAGGGAGCCGTGAGGGCACACCCTGTTTTTGGTCTGGACGGCCTCCTGCAGCACCCTGCTGGGCAAAATGGGGGCGGGGGTTGCAGGTTGCCCTCACAGGCCCCATTTTTGGCCTGGATGGCCTCATGCAGCACCCTGCTGGCCAAAACAGGGCACAGAGGCCCTGTGGGACTCCCTGTGCCCTGTTTTGTCTGGCAGGGTAGTGCAGGAGGTCATCCAGGCTGAAAATGGGGTGCATGGGGGCCACCCATGGGTCCCTCATGCCCCATTTTTGCTAGCAGAGGCACTGCAGGTTGGTCCCTTCTATTTCCAGACTGGCCCCATGGGCCAGATATAAGCACCTTGCAGACCAGATGCAGCCCACAGGCCTTGAGTTTGATACCCCTATACTAGACCAAGCATTTTATGAAATTTTCTGGAATTGCATTCTTTTGGTTTATGAAAAAATCAACTTAATAAAAACAACTATTTTTAGAACTAGAAAGGAGGATATTTTTTAAATTTTCCATCAATCTCTTCATATAAATAAATTATCTGAAAATAACCTTTTTTCTGATTCTGACAATGGATGATTCCACTGGATTAAACAGCCTGTTGCAGGAGACTAGAATGACCTATTTCTTACAATTAAAAGCACTTAGGCTAATTGGTGAGTTATCACATTTTAGTGAAAGAAAGAAAGAAAGAAAGAAAGAAAGAAAGAAAGAAAGAAAGAAAGAAAGAAAGAAAGAAAGAAAGAAAGAAAGAAAGAAAGAAA